TATTAACATATTAAGTTTCTTAATAACAACAAACAAAATAAAAATGATTCTATTTCAATGCTGGCAGAATTAAAGATAAGTGTGGTTAAAAGTTTTAAAGATAAGAAAGCATACAACAAAAAGACAAAATATACTAAAGCTATGGTTAGATGAGTGAATATTTTGGTGGAGATACCTATGTAACTGTGAGTGCATTCAGATTAAGAAAATGAGGAGTGCTTAACAAATGCAAAAAAAAAAAATGTTTTTAAAGGTCTGGTATCTTTTCTCATCTTTCTATTCTTGTCTTTCCTCTAATGATAACTATACTGATATGGGTTAATTCACTTTTATTTTTGTTCTAAAATGTAGAAAAAGAACATTGTATTTGGATGTTTATTTTCTCATTATTGTTAAAAATTAGCTCATAAAAGGTTCTTTGAACTCTATAAGTTTAGATTCCAATTCAATCCCTCTAATGTAAAATAGTCAATTTTATATCATATATTTTCATTCTGTTATGATTTCAATTGATTCCAATCTAATCTCCATTTTATTTTCCATTTCCTTTTCTTTGCCCCTGAACTAATAAAACATTTAATACACTATGTAATAGCGCAAAAGGGACTAATTATATTTTGATAACAATGTTAAAGACTGTCATTTTACAGCTCATTTTCTTTATCATTTCTGTTATTACCAGTTAAACACACAGCACTTGTTACTCCCCAGCAGAAATGATTAGAAATGGTCTCACAGAGTCTTCACTTTAAAGGTTAACCAGAATCTCACTGAATTTTTTCTGCCTGCCTGCTGAAAGTAAACCATGCAATAGCCACATGCTATAATCTTTTATGTTGTTTAGTGTTTAAAATTTTACAGGATTCCATGTGTAATATCTCATTTAATCCTCACAACTACCCAAATAATATGAAATCCCACTGTATAGAAGAAAAAAACGAAACATAAAAACTTAGATAATGATTTAGATAATGATTTTTCTAAAGCTACACAAGTTTCTAAAGGGAATCTCAATCTTCTCCATTTTCCTAGTCACCTACATGAAGAAATGTCCTTCCTCATCATAGTTCATCATTCTCATCATATATGGTATATATCTCACTACATATCAAACCATGGCATGTCTAATAATCCACAGGATATTATCTAATTTCAGTCCATCACAATTATTTACATGGTATTGGTAAAAATGGCAATGAAAATATTTCTTAAACTGGGTTGTTTGTTCATGGTATTTTCTTGCATGTCTAAAGTAGTTTACAATGAATCTTTTTTTTTAAAAAAAAAAAAGGCAATCAGCTGTAAATAAGAATACATATGTGTTTTGTACCTTTGTCAACTAGTCATGTCTTATTTAACATTGCTAAGCCTCAATTCCCTCTTATGAATTATGAAGAGGAAGAAAAGAAATTTTAAAAATCCTTCTAATTTATAAATATCATGTCTATGCTGAAAATTATACATAAGAATAATCAAGGTTGGGGTGGATTTAATGAACTGATCTGGAGAATCATTGGAGGCAAAAAAGAACACACGCATATACAACATACTGGAGGGTACTCCGGTGATCAGCCATGAAATGATAAGAGTATGCATTTATAAGGGACAGTTATTAACTGCAAGTGAAGGTGAAGGAATGAATCAGAGTGATTTTGGACAAGGGTCATGATAGCTACTGGTGACTGATGCTGATTCAACACAGAGCATAAATTAATATTAGAGTCAAAGGTATGTTCCACATTAACTGGAATAGCGGGTCTAGGTTGAAATGGGAAAAGTAAGGAATATACCATCTAAAGAAAAAAGCGGCAAACCTGGTTGGGGACATGCTAAGTTTTATAATATGAATTACTCTAGAAGTAATGATAGAATTTCTCTAGAGTGAGAGAAAAGCAAAGTTAGACTTCAAGCTTCCTTAACTCCAAGATATTTGCTATAACGGACCATGGTAACTGGGAAGCAGGTAATTGCATTGCTGGAGGAATAGTCTTGTGTGGTTATAGGTACAACTATGGGAACTGGCAAGACTCACCTCTAACCTAATAGTATAAGTAAGAAACCCACTGTCTTCCTTTTTCCCTGGTCTGGTGGTTTTCTCATAATTCCCAGTCATCTTGGAGCTCTAAACTTCAGGTACTCCATGACAAAGAAAACAGAAGGCACTGGAAGCTATTTCTTCACTCACTTTTACCAAAATCATGTCTCTGTATTCTGTACCAATAGCTTCTTGTTTATTTCAAAAGGAAATCCAAGTGAAAAAAACTTTAAAGTCCAAGACTTCATCAATCTTAGAACCTAACCAAATTGAATTGGTTTATATTAACACACTTCATGTCTATCTTTTAAAATCTTCACTTGCTTTATATTTTACAATGGTTAATCAATGTCCGTGGAGGAATGAATGAACAAACAAAAATAAAAGGAAGACAACATATTTGAGAAACACTTATAGTTATTATGGAGGGGGAAAGAGAGCATAAATCAATGAAAGAAACAAAAATATATTATTTTCATAGGCAGTGATAATAGCTAGCAATTTGTTTTATTTTTCAAGTAGGAGGGCTGTTTTGCATGGAATGTATGCTCAAGAAAAACACCATACTGCTGAAAGTTAGATGATATATCAATAAATTCAAGCCATGCAGTTATATTTTGGAGGAATAAGCCAACAGTTCAGCACCACAAGCATAACTCTGATTGGAACTGTTTAGCTCTCTTTACTTAGGGCATGACACTAATAACATTAAGGTGGTGGACACAGTGCAACTAAGCTATTCTGTGTGCAAACTCTAAAACAGTGCTTCTCAATTTTACCATGCCTATGGATCACTGGGGTATCTTGATACAGCCAGAGATTCTGCATTCTAACAAGCTCCCAGGCCTTAAAGGTCCCAGAGGGAGCACACCTTAAATAATAAGGCTCTAGCTGGTTGTTCCACATATGCATGACCCTGGTAATAACAGATATGTGAGAGAATATCAGTAGCTGGCACTAAGTCAATATTCTCTGAATTTAAAAAAACCCTGCAGGTTCAACTAATGCAAGTAAGAAAGACAGCATATTAAGTGATATGTTGGAAGAATGAACAAGTTTATATAACTTCCCAAGCTATAAAATTAATTTCAAAGGCTCTATTTTAATAAAAAAACCCACCACCACCAACAACAAAAAAAAACAAAAATGGTTCGATAAAGGCTATAGTAAATGATTTACCTCTAATGTTATTTTAGGTAGTTATTTACGCATAATAGAATATCGCTCAACTGTTCATTTTTAAGTATATGTCATTTGCCTCTTGATAGGTTTACATATAATTTACTTCCGCGTACTTATTGTCTCCTGTGTAATATTTCATTGAATTGGTATTAACCTTTACTGAGACAATTACTTCTTCTCTTTGGCTTTCTTATTCATTTTCCTCTCTTTTGGTTCTCTTTTCTTTACTCACTTGTAATTCTAAGATTGTTCATTAGTTTTGTGAAATTGTGAGAAGAGGGAAAATACTTGACAGAAAGCACAAACAGCAATTGCCAAGAGTTGTGAGGAAAGATTTCATTCACACCCTAAAGGGAAAGATGATATTCCATGTTTTATCTTATTGTGCATAGGAAAACTACACCCTCTCTAAGACCACCAAGAAGCTCACACTACTAAATATGCGAGAATAGGAACTTCTTCATAATTCTAGGCCCTTAAAAGATAAGTATATATAATAGATTAAAGACGGAATAATGAACTCGCCTGACCAAGAAAGCGATTACATTTCTACAGGTAACCATCTGAGTCTATATGTGAAATGCTGCATCAGGCTTATTAGACAAGCACAGATAGAAGGTCTGCAAAGACAGTAGATATTACATGCTCAGTGGAACACATGAGATAAAATATATGAGAACTAGAAGGTGACTGTTTCCATGGAATTAGCAAACAAACAATAAAGGTAGTGAAAATCCAACTATTTCCTCCTAGGAATTCCTTCAAGAGAAAGTCTACAGCCTGAAATGTGGCACCTAAGACGCTTCCTGATCTGATGCATGCATACTTACTCATGCCACCTATGACTCTGACCTTGCTTTACACACCATAGCCTCTAGCCCTGACAAACTATTTGTAGTTCCACAGATGCCTCTTTGTGTATTTATTCCTCCATTGCACACAGATCAGAAATATTCTTCCTTTTCCTATCTGCCTAGTACATTTCTCATTATGAGATTCCACTTGAGAACCACGTATTTTATGATCCTTTCTCAAAAAAAAAAAATTATTTTAAACACAAAATCAACTATTTCTTCCACCTGTTTGACAGCATCTTGCTTTTGTAATTACCTGGGTCTTACGACATTGCAATAATTATTGTATGTCTGTCCTCGCTGTACTATGAATCCTTCTGACTCTCATCTCAGAAATAAAACAGTATTTTCTTTCTGTTCGTATTTCTATAATCTTGAATATTCATAGAATTTCTATAAACTTGAACACTCATTCATTCACTTATTTTTCATTGAATGCTCACAAGTAAGTTTAATAACTGTTTATAAATAATTTAAAATTCCTATCATGTTAACCAATCACTAATTTGATATTATTTTCTGAATTTAGGATTTGCTACTTTCAACAGTTTTTTTTTTTCTTTTTTTTTTAACCTTATGATCACTCCTTGAAAGCATAGATTTTCTAGGATACCTCACTAGCTGGACTAAAACCTTATTTATTAATTAATTAATCTATTTATTTAGAGATGAAGTTTCACTCTTGTCGCCCAGGCTAGAGTGCAATGGCGTGACCTTGGCCCACTGCAACCTCTGCCTCCTAGGTTCAAGTGATTCTCCTCCCTCAGCCTCCTGAGGTGCTGGGATTACAGGTGCCCACCACTAACACCCAGCTAATTTTTGTATTTTAAGTAAAGATATGATTTCATTATGTTGGTCAGACTGGTCCCAATTCCTGATCTCAAGTGTTCTACCCACCTCGGCCTCCCAAAGTACTGGGATTACAGGCGTGACACACCATGCCCAGCCTAAAACCTTATTTTAATTTTTACCTCTTTGCATGGAGTCCCTTCCTATGGTCAATCTCATGCATAATTTTGAAGATAATATTCCCTAGATACCTATTCCTATCTAGAATAGTTTAGCAATCCTTGTTTGTCCATTTGAGAAAATGTTAACTCAATATTTCATTGTAGGTCCCTCTCCACACCTGTCCTCCACAAATACACTATCTTTCTTTTCTGAGCTCATGCAAAGAAAAAGAAAATTGCTAATGGTGAAATATTCCTTGCTGATAGCTTTTCAGTGCTCAGCTTGCATTTCATTCCCTTGATAAAGTCTTCTAATATTTTGCTCAGATAGCAAGGACTTCACCATTTAGCACTGTTTTCTCACGTGTATCTTGGGTAAATTATTTTTACCTCCTCCCCTTCAATAGTATCTGAAAATCTAGGAACTGACTTTAAACATTTTTTTTGTATAATTTCCCCTCTCTAATTTTGCACTTTACTCGATATAATGCACACATAAAAATCAGTCTTGATTTATTGACAAATACTTCGCTACATTTTGTTACCTTATATTGGCAGATAACACTACATAAATTCTACATAATGACATTCCTTTCATATTGCCTTCTAGCTGTTTCTTTTATATAAGTCATCTCAACCTATGGATTATAAAATGCTAAGAGCAGGAATGAATTTCTATTTGGAAAGTCACTGGAATATAGCAGGAAAATCACTGAACTGGGAGTCAGGAGACAGGTCTGAATTCTGCGGCTTGTATGGTTTGCTGAAACGGTGTATTTTATTGCTATCATTTTCTTCATTTGTAAAATACAAACAAAATCCTCAGAGATGGTGTGAGAATTAAATGAGATACTATGTATGGAAACATTCTGAATATTCTAATATGCTATACAAGATAAGACACTGGTTTTTTTTTAATCACATCTTCAAAATTATTTTATGGGCAGCACATGCTGGACACAAGGCAAACTGTCAGGAAGGTCTCCCTGAGGGTCTTGGGTCAAGTTGGGTGGGCATTTCTTACATTTTTACAGCAATAGCTGCCAAGTCTCATTCCTCAGTCTTTTTTTTCTTTTATAGGATAAAAGTTATTACAGTGTAATACAATTTTTGGCAAACCATTTTTCAGCATTTTCCATCTGCTTACCACATATGACCTCTTGCAGTCCTGCTTTTGCTTTTCCAACTCACCCGTGAAATCTGCCTTGTCAATTCTCTTTTCCACCTCACCGAGGTAGCTGTCATACCTGGAACACTCTTTATTCTTAACCTCGCCTGCTTTTCTTTCCCGTGGGCTCCTCTTCCCCTCTGCTGGCTGCCAAGGAGAAGCACATTTACTGGCATTGCCCCCAAACAGATGCTCGCCTCACTCCCTTCCCCCTTTCTCTTTCAGCCAAACCATCACCTGCCAAGGGCTGGTGGTTGCTGCCCCCCTTGTCCACTGCCTCTCACTGCTGCAGCTCCAGTCCTTTTTGGCAGCCTCCTTGAAGTTCCCCTTGCCCGCGTTCGCCGGTGCTTCCTTCCAGCAGCCTCCCCCTCTCGCCTGCAGCTCTCCTCGCTCCTGCCAGCCTCTCCCCCGCTCGGTCTGCGCGCAGCCTCTTCCTCCCACCCTTGCCAGCTGCTTTACTCGCCTTTCCTCAGGCTGCTCCTCTCCTTCTTTCCCCAGCCCTTCCCCTGGCTCCCACAGCCGGTTTCTTTCCAGCGTCCCCATCTCTCTCTTCAGATGTTTTAACACCCAGGACCACCTCTCCTGGGTCCCAGTGTGTACGTGTGTCCACCGTTCATTTGCAAAGTGAGCATTTTCATTCCGCGTCTGTATTTGTCTAGTCCCCCACCAAAACCCTGTGCCTACTCCTGAAGCCTGGAAAGCAGAACGTAGTGATGGTAGAGGGGATTCAGGAAGACACCGGGACACAGGCTCAGCGGACCCCAACAAAGTTTTGGACGTTCGGGATTTGCCATCTTAGGCTTCCCAAACTTGGTCAGCGCTGGCCAGCGACCTGAGCCACCCAGCAGCACTCTGACCAGGCGCTCCTCTGATTCCCAGCGCCCCCAATCTTCCAGGGCCGCTTCCTCGAGAATGCCAACCGCTCTCCAGGACCAGGCTTGGGCCACTCCCCAGGCCCTAGCAGGGTGCGCAGCCTGAGCCCCACCCAGCTCACGGCTGGGGAGGGGTGCATTAGTCTTTAGATGCCAGGCGGTGGGGTGGGCGAGAAGAAAGAATGGAGCAGCCCACGTTCCTGGGTGCCTGCCTCGGGGATGCGGGGTGGGTGATACTGTCGAAGAGCCCTGCTCAAACCTGGGTCCCGGTCGCGGTCTGGATACCTCCGGTGCGCCCTACCTAGGAGCCGTCTCCTTTAAGAGGCGCGCGTGCGTGTGTGTCAGGCTGTGTGTAAGCTCGTGTGTGTGTGTGTGTGTGTGTCGCCGCGGTATGTGTGAGTGTGAGTGCGTGTGTGTGTCCGCGCGCGCGCGCGCGCGCGCGCCACGGGCGCCGAGAGCCTGGCAAACCCCGGGAAGGAGGAGTTATGTAGATTACGGATGAACATTCTGGAGGGGAGCGAGAAGAGGAGGGAAGGAGAAGCAGAGGCGAGAGAGCGAGGAGCGGCGGAGGCCCTTCCCGCAGGAGCTGGGGGCGGTGGCGGCGGAGGAGTGGGCGGCGGAGGAAGAGGACGCACGGGCTGGAGGCGGCGGCGGCGGCGGCGGCGGCGGCTGCTGCTGCGGCTGCGACTCGGCGCTTTGAGCCGGAACCGCCGGTGAACTTGGCCGCCACGTTCCCGGTGACTGACCCCGGAGGATGGTGAACGCGAACTACTGCTGACCCCGTCTTCGCCGCTGCTTCTCGGGGGCTGTCAAGCGCGGGGCCCCGTCTCCTCCCCTTGCCCGGCTGTGGGTGAACCTGCAGGCTCCTTACCCACCCCGAGGACTTTTTTTTGGAAGGAAACGAGGGAGGGAGGGAGAGGGAGAAAGGGAGAAAACGAAGGGGAGCTCGTCCATCCATTGAAGCACAGTTCACTATGATCTTACTCACATTCAGCACTGGAAGACGGTTGGATTTCGTGCATCATTCGGGGGTGTTTTTCTTGCAATCCTTGCTTTGGATTTTATGTGCTACAGTCTGCGGAACGGAGCAGTATTTCAATGTGGAGGTAAGAGTGCGAGGGTTTTCTTCCTCCCCCCTTGCCTGGGCTGCTCCCTGAAATATTTCCTTCACTCCTCGGATCCGTGTAGCTAAGAGCTGCCTGGGTCCCAACACACTGTTTCCCTTCCAGCTGCGGAGATCCTGGTTGAGTTTAAGGATGTCTTAGGTGACGGATGCGTGTGAGACCCAGAATCCGTTATCCCCGGCAGCACACAGCACGATGCTGCGCGCTCAAAGACACAATTGTAGCCAGTCCATGCTTTTCACCCAGGGAGGAGAAGCCCTACATATAGCAACCGTGTAGCTAAATAAGGCAGCTTGAGTTTATGATAGATAAACAGCTCAGGGAAGACAGAATTAATTGCCTGGCATCATGTGCTACCTAGGTGTTGTTCCTGAAATCTTTCTTCCAGTATTTGGTGCCTAACAAAGGAGGTTAAAAGCAAAGAATCTGGAGGAAAGCGTGGGAACGCTAGATGTGTTTAATAACATTACTTTGTGATAAAACACTTGAGAATCTTTTTCTCATTTAGACATAACTTAATACACTGTAACTAGATCTGGCTACACAGAGGACATGAAATCCATCTCTTTTTAAGTGTTCTATCCCCCTCCCCCGCCAACTGAAAATAAACGTGGCCCAATGTAATAGTTCTGAGGTGTGTTTTTAATTTGATTTCACACTCTCGTGGCAAAACGAGGAGGTTTTAGACTGTCATTTGCTTTACTTTGATAGCTTTGGGAACAGACGGCACAAAGCAAAAGGGAACTTAAGGATAGGGATTTGTCAGACCTCTGCCAAAGTACTCTTCCTGTCATGAAGTCAGCACTGAAGCCAGTAATGGGCAATAAATCAATGAAAGCGTGTATACACCTAAGCTGTAACACAACTTTATCACATATACGGTGGGATACAAAGACGGTAAGAGGGTCTTAGTAACATTTACTTCTTTTGATTAGATCTGATGTCCTCTGATCTCTCCAACGAATTATGAATAATTCTTTAAGCAATAATGTGATTTTTTTTCTTATATTGTTGATATTATAAAGCTTACTGTCATTTTGTTGGGAGTGTGTGTTTACACAATAGCAGGACCTGTTGCACAGTATTTGAGCATGCTTCATGTAACCAATTTATATACCGAATATGCATAATAAATGCCATGTGTAAAGGCATATTCTGAATGTAACTGTGTTTATAGAAACTGTTCTTAGGACTTCATGTAGTAAGTGATGGTACAAGAAAAAGTATTTGAAAAAGGAAGAGCTATTATCAAAGGAGTTAAAGACCTTTACAGATGTGAAGCATGAATAAATTACAGAAAAGCCCCAGTTTGAAAACTAAAAAGGCTTAATTAACCCTCTGAAAAATACAACTTTCTTTTTCTGGATAAAAAGAGAAAGGGTCTTGAAAGTCCAGACTTTTTTCGATTGCAAATTTGAACTTTTGGAATTACATGCCACAGATGGATTTTTGTACCTAACATTTAAATCAAGAGATAATTTAATGTTGAAATGAAGGATTAGTTCATAGGCTGGAGGAATTAAAGTGGCAAGCTGTTATTTATAATGTTATAAACAGAAGGGCCTATTGCCTCAGATTGGTGGTGATGGTAGTGAGGTGGAGTGTGGGGGACGTGGTAAAAAGTTAAGTGCAAGGTTGTGTCTTTTTCACCAAGGGAAGGGAAGGGCAGTCTGGATTGATGGCTGCCTGCTTTAGGAAAGTCTTAGATTTGCTTTCAGAAATTAGTCTAGCATGAGTTTTGATGATCGTTAGAGTTTTTGTGAGACTAAAGTTAGATTGTTTTTATTTATATTGGAATCTCTCAGTTGGTTCAGTATTATTATGCAATAAAAAGCTATGATTGTACCAAAAAAACTTACTTAATTTTGAATTCCAATGACCCCTTCTCTTCATTAAGATGTGTGAGGAAAAATGGATTATGGAGAAAACAGTTATCCTCCCATTTGTAGAGTATTTAAGTTATACTATTCATTTTTATTGCACAGATTTGCGTATGACAGATAAGAAGTCATGTGCCATCTCAGACCTTTAAAACCTTACTTAATAAAATGGGAATTTTTAATGGTTTACAGCAGATTATATGCCATAGTTTGTATTATCCTCAAATAGTATTTTTAAGCTCTTGAGCTCATTTTGGTTGGATTTATAAGCGTCTTTATGTGTGATGATACCCTTATTATTATTTTTAGATTGTAAGAGTAGCTGCTAGTAAAATGAAAATATTGTGAAGAACACAGAATGGCAGGATATTTTCTGACATAAATTTCTGCCTGATTTGCTTCTACTTGATGTTTCTTTTTGATAGGAAACACTAATGGGAAGAATAGTCCATCACTTCGTCTCCAGAAGAGAAACTTATATTGTGTTCCTCATTCTGGTTGCAAAACATACACACTGGGAATGTTTTATTTGATTGATTCTCAAGGACAGCCTTAAAATAAACTAATGATATCAATCATACATGAAGCTCATATGATCATAAATTTTTTTTCAGTAAGCACAGAAAGTTAATAGTTGGAGCAAAGCTTCAGAGGGATGCTTTTTATGCTGACTAAATTTGCATTGATTTATTCATCACTAAACTTTACAATTTGTGATACCCCAATTCTTTGTATCTCTATACTTTAAGGTTTAAAACTGTATATTTTTCCCAGGAAAATGGGGAATTTGAGGAAGGTGGTTGGCTACAGATATTCATGTTAACTCTTTCCTGTCTGATTTTTTAAGAGTATAAATATTTGGGATTGTCAATTATCAAAGTGAGAGATATTTTTAGTATGGTGATAAAATCCTGCTATAGAAAGTGGGTGCATTTGGTTTTATTTGTTTAGCTTGTTTTTTAAGAAGCAAAAAGGAACATCCCTTACAGCTAAGAAAGAATCAGACACCACCAGGAGTAGTACTATGGCAGAGATTCAATACATTGCTCTATTTTTATTTCAAGTGGAATACTTTTGAAGTTTTCAGTATATACTCATTCAGGGAAAGATTTTTGTCTATCATTGGATCCCTTTTTTAACAGTTGGTCTTTCAGTATGTGATAATTAGCATGATGCAAGAAAACATTGCTAATATTCACTAAAAGTCAAAAGCTGTTGTCATTGGACAGCAGTCTGAATCAGAGGTGTTCATTGGCCATAAGCAGCTAAATTATTAAGAAAGAATTATGATTTAATATCTACTGTCTTAAAAATCATTTTGTTCCCAAAATAGTTATCTCACATAGGGATTTTCATGAACCTGTGGAGTTTTTTGGTATGCTGTAAGCATTTTTGTTATGAAATTTGAGATAGAGTATAATTCATGATAGTAATGCCTCTCACATCGTCAACTCTGAGTAATTTGTCATATGTTACTTATATGAACAACATATTTCCTATTAATTTCTATACAATGGCATACATTTCCAGTGAGGAAAAAAATTTCCAGCCAATTTAGTGGTAAAGTAAAAACATATAAAACTCTAAATGATGCATATATCAAAGCATAAGATGATTACTCTTTTGTGGCAGAAAAAGTCTTGATATAGCAAAGAATGATTTTGTTGTTCCTGATTAAAGAAAGCAGAGGCATTTTAGATTTCAAAGGGGTCTTTTATGACAAATATGAATTGAGTATAACTATTTCCTAAATTTTTCTTGCAGTATGTTTATTTAACTGATTTATGCTTTATTCACCTTTGTCAGGATTGTCTGCATGTACCTAAAAAGTCAGAGTTTGCATTGGGTACTTTTGTATTGCAAATAAATTTGGTAATAATTGATCATGAGACATTTCAGAAATAAAAAGTATATTTTATAGAATTTTACATTCTTATGTTGGAACAATGTTTTGCTTTTCTCTTGTTGCTTGCTTAAAAAATAAAGATGCATTATTTCGTTTGCTCATGGAAGGATGGTGGTACCATGCCTTCTTGAGTAAAGGTTTTCTCCTGAATATAGCCCATAATTCTCCACCATAGCAGTTTATAACTGGTCAACCACAGGGGATGTATGCATGATTGATCAAGATTTTTATCTACTACCAGATTGCAGGTTGAACCTGACATCTCAAACATGCTGGCCAGTTAGGGTGCTCATAAGGGTGCAAAGCTATGACAAGCAGACCAGGAGGCTCAATTGTTTTAAGATTCTTTAGCTTCTCCTACATGTCCCACCTTGACTATGCCTTTCTCTGTTCAGAGTTGCCTGGGCAGGTTCATTCATATCTACAATTATTCATGAAACCATTACAGATGAGCATATGCCAGAAAGGTGACCTTTCTCCTACTATCCCCTTGAGAAATCCAAGGACAGCAATAGTCCAAGTTCATCCCTCTCCATACAGCTGGGTTTTGTCTTTCGTTCTTTTTGTTACCAAATAAGAATAAAGCTAGGTTCAGTGACATCTCTCCTATTTGTGAAATCAGGTTAAAAATGAAGAACCTAAAGTTCCTACTTTTTCTTAAGGTAATTAACGTAAGAAGATTTTAGTGCACTTGTTCAGTGCTATAATTCTTTGGATTAATCAATAACTCGATATAAAATTATATTACTGACCTGTGTCAGTTACTCAAAATGTACTTGTTGAGACTATTTGGTAGAAGACTAATTGGAATTATTTGGGGACTAAAAAAAAAATTGAACACTGGAATTAATGAATTAAATTTATTCGGTGTTGTAAGATAAATATTTATTTACACTCCCTTCAAGAAGTTTTTGACCTTTCATTATGTATATTTGAAATTGATAAATTTTCATATTACTTTCTATCACAATTTATGTATCTGTGAATGTAATAATACTCATCCCTTTATTTTTTCTTGCATAGAAATATAATAATTAAGAGCACATATTCTGGAACTAGACTGCCTGGGTTCTAATTCCATCCTTTTTGTCTGCAAGTTTTATATTAAGAGGCAAGTTAGTTAGTTAATCTCTGTGAGCCTCAGTTTAACTGTCTATAAAATCTGAATACTCTGAATAATTGCCTCACGTTGTTTT